AAAACCCGGTCCATGTACTCGAGGTCTTGAAAAGCCTACATCCGGGCTCTCTCAACAAGAATGTCCGGCAAGTCAGGCGAGAATGGATGCAAGCATTCGGTCCCAGCTATAACGATGGCACCATCAGGAAGGACATTAAGCGTATATNCGTGGTCGACCGGTAGCTTTTAAGACAAGAAACTAGGGAAATAATAAATGTGGTGTGTATATCAATAAATCAATCATGAACGATCTTATTTCACAGTGTGCGAGTTGGCTAGAGGGTAACAAAAACCCGGTCCATGTACTCGAGGTCTTGAGAAGCCTGCATCCGGGCTCTCTCAACAAGAATGTCCGGCAAGTCAGGCGAGAATGGATGCAAGCATTCGGTCCCAGCTATAACGATGGCACCATCAGGAAGGACATTAAGCGTATATTGAAAGTCATACAGAGGAAGGCGTCGTCGCTGGCCAAGAAAACCTCAAGTGAATCAAGGAAGAAATACAGCTTGAAACAGCTCAAAATGGCCGAGAAATGTATCGTTTCGTTCGCGAACTCGGATTTGTTCGGCAAATGGGCAGCGTGAAATACCGTTCACTCACGGAAGAAGTCCTTCACTGGGGTCGTCGAAATAGATGAGCTCCTGCGAAAGGTAAATATACTTCCACCTTACGTCTCTCAGCTGGAACACACAACGGAAGAAAAGAGCCTTCCAAGGAAAAGACGCCGAGAAGCCTTGGCAGCGAAGTGCGAGAAGAGCATTAGAGTGAACGCAAGCGATCTTATCGATCTCATGGTAGCAATCATTAGATATCCTAGAGCACACTATTTCGAATTGGCGTGCGCGTTATCATTTGCCTCTGGGAGGTCGATGCCAGAACTTATTGGTGCTACTGCTGTCCAATTTCCGCCCAGTAATCACGGCACTCACAAGGTAGATGTCAAGGCTGGTGGAGGAAGCTGTCGGATACCATTATTATGCGAATACGAACACATTATGGGGGGTGTCAATCGGTTGCGCGCAATGAATCAAACATCCCGCCTAACGCCCGCCGAGGTAAAAAATCGATTTAGTAAAGCAGTTAATTTGTACGCCAGAATATTGCTTTCTGAAGAAGTCGGATTCCGTGTATTCAGCGATTTTAAGACGCTCCACGTCGTGATTAGTCATACCGTATTCACGGGCCACGAGTTTGATTTGGGTGAATGGGTAAAAGTTGCACGTGGTGGTCCGAGCTCGCCTGCCTTAAATCGCAGGTGTGTGGTTGTGAAAGTAGAAGGCATCGACGACGATAATTTATTGCAGTGGACGATGTGACTTCAATCCACCAGCATCTTCTTCGTCGATGTCCTTCCTTTCTCAGTGATTGTGCAAAGACTGTGTGACTCGTTGGATTTGTGTTGTGCGCGCACACACACACTACATTTTCACGCAATGTTCACCAAAATTTCATTTTCACACAGTTTTCACAGAATGTCCACCGAATTTCCAATTTTCTCACAGTTTTCACGCAATGTTCACCGATATCTTGTTTATGAAACATAATGTTCAAACACGTCCTATTGACTGAGGCTACCACCCCGGGAGGGACACCTTTCTTTTCTCTACTATGATCGGGGCTTTATGTTGCACAAACACCCTGTTTTCACACGAACACACACACATTGAAGGAGGATTCCCATAACCAGAACAACAGCTTTTGGGCTACCCCGGTAGAGCCAGTGCACACTGCATCTACCGACCTAAAACCTACGCAATGGGAAAATTGATGACAACATATGTTTCAATCTCTCTCTCTCTCTCTCTCTCTCTCTCTCTCTCTCTCTCTCTCTCT